GATGTAGCATTTCATGTCCAATAGTTGATTTGACTCAATCCCATCATGAAGTCCATGTAGCACACTTCACTAGCCAAATTTTTGGCCATAATCCCTTAAGTTTGGCCGGCCAAGTGAAGGAAGGAAAGAGAAAAATGAAACCTAACCCTTGTACCTTTGTCTACTTTCTAAATTTACTCATTAAACTGTCCAAAATTATACTGACAGCTATTTTCTCCTGTATGCGGGTACTGGATGCTAGTTTATATTGTGCTTGGAAATTCTTAAAATTAATGTTCTCAAGCTGTATCTGTACTAGAAATTCTTCCGTTTTAAAGTACGGTGAGAATTTATCGATCGAATTTACTTGATCGAAAAATTGTGAACTTAACGTGAAATCTGCTACAGAATTTAGGAATGCAGATGTTAATTCCATAAATCCTTCAATCACAAAATGTACATAGTATAATGATTTTCCAGGAAAATCCTTGACTTGAATACATGAATTATATTATTAAAATTATGGGATTTTTCTTGGTCACTACACTTTTAAATCAAGTTCATGGATGTATTGTTGCCACTAACTCAATAGTTTATGAAACTAGTTAGTGATCATATCATTTCATTCATTTTGCAAACAATTTTTTCAATTGTTTCAAACAAGGAAAAGGGCCTTTTATAGAGTAGGGAACTTAAATTGCTCCCGGCCGTCTATGGCACACATATTGACTTGATTTATCTCACTTAAAATATTATTTTCAATAAAAAGGGACACCGGAAGTACCTTTGGATCATCCAAGGAATGTTCAGATCAAACGGCGGGTGTCGTTATGTCAAAAAACCAGACTTTTTACTCAATGTTCATCCAGAGAATGAGGTTTTTGATCTTAAAGAAATCTTACCAGCTAAGAAAACTCTGCAGGTGCCATTCAAATCTAAACCAAAACTTGCAATTTCATAACTGTGCATAATTTAATTTATATAAATACAATATATATATATATATATATTTATATATATTACCATTTTGTAAATGAAATGCGTACCATCATTTTACTTCGCATGCAGGTAAAGGTATATGTGGGTGAAGAGTGGCATTCAGATTTCCGCCACACTCAGTTTGATCGATTCTCTTCTCCGGATTTTTTTTGTAAGGGTATGTCCAATATAAGAGAAAAATAATTTTCCCAGCTCAAAGGAATAATTAAACTTTGCTTCTTCTTTTTTTTTTTTTGGTAGAAAGTAAATTTTGCTTATTTTTTTATCACTAGGAAATTGTGTTCTAACCTAACAAATTCATGAAGATCAATGCTATGATAATAATTTCGGAGAAGTTTATAACCTTAAAAATGTTATGTCAAACGTCAAATTTAATATATTTTGAATAAGATATGAATAACAGAAAAACACGAGAATTTAATGTAGTTCGATTTTCAGCTTACGTAAGCAAGCAGAATGATGAAGAAATTCCACTATAAATTAAAGGAAATTATAAAAGTCTAACAAATATCTTTCACCACTCAAATTCTAAATACACCCAAAGCCTCTCAACTCAAAATTAAGAACACCAAATATCAAAAAGATGAATTCTTTGATTAAATCTCAATCTCACTAAAAAACAAAAACGGAGAAAACATGTATCAAACATTCTCCAACATATATATATATATATGTATATTTTATATATATATATATATATATGCTTAGGGTTGAAGTGGTTAAAAAAAGTAAAAAACATTGCATGGGCCTTGGCCCCATAACAAATTCCTAGGCTTAATTAAAAGCCAAACCCAACAATAAGGGTTCATCCAGTTAGGGTTGTTCAACTTAACTGACAATTGACGGTGACTGATGATGCCGACTGAATACAGTCGGAGGGCGGTTGCCAAAGCCGTCGGTCAATTAAATCGAACCTTGGACTGTCGCTCGGCCAATTTATAGTTTTAAATTTAATCGTCAGTTCGCGACCAAAATTGATGTCTTTGCCGGTGCTGTTTGTAATAATTAAGAAAATTCCGGAATTTAAATAATGCAATTTATATATTTAAGTCAAGGATTTTTCCTGAAAAAAAATATATATTATGTTATATTTTGTGACTGAAGGATTTATGGAATTAATATTTGTATTCTTAAATTATGTAGTAGATTTCATGCTAATTCATGTTTTACGATCAAGTAAATTCGATCGATTAAATTCTCGCCGTACTTTAAGGTAGAAGAATTTTCAATACATATACAGTTTGAGAATCTTAATTCTAAGAATCTTCAAGTACAATACGAACTAGCATCCAGTACATATATAGGAGAAATTTACAGCCAGTATAATTTTTAACAGTTTCAAAGGAAACTTAAGAGAGTGGACAAAAGTACAAGGGGTAGGTTAATGTGTAGAATTGGATGAGGTGTGATGAGGGAAGATGAAGAGGACTCATAATTATTTTTTTTCCCTCTCTTTCTTCACTTGGCCTGCCATGCTTAGGGAGTTTATAGTAAAATTTTGGTTAGTTGAGTGTGCTAGAAGATTTCATGATAAAATGAATCAAATCAACTATTTGACAAGAATGCTTACTTCACTTCTCTCTTGAAGCATCCAACCGGCCAAGTAAGGGGAAATTAACCTAAAAACTTTGCTAATTAAGCTAGCTTGATAGGCTTAACTAAGAACTAATAAGAGATCAAGCAAAGTCTATAAATGTTAGACCATTAGTGCAAGCATTAAGTTAGCACATTTTGTACATTTCCTCTCCTTTTCCACACACCAAAACCGGCCATTCCCTACCCATTGCTCCTCAAAAATTTTCTCTCACTCTCCTAACCTTAAACCACTAGCAAACATTAGAAGAAGAAGAAGAAGATCAAAGTGTTCTAGGAGGAGTCTAGTCAAGCATTTCTCCAAGGGTATAAACTCTAACCCTCTCTTTCTTATGTTCTAGCAAAGTTTGAGATTTATAAATATTCTTCTCAAATTTTCTTATACTCTTTTAATTCCATGCCATTAACAAACCTTAGAGGAAGAAGAAGGTGATCAAGTATTCTAGGAGGAGCCTAACTAAGGATTTTCTTCAAGGGTATAAATTTTAGACCTTTCTCCTCTATTTTCCTACCAAAAATTAAGTTGTGAATCAAGGATGTAATTTGTGGTTCTTGAGGAAATAAGTTGTAATAGGGGTGTGTGTGTGTTTTATGTTGGTTTTGTGTATTTTGAGGTTAGTTTGATTAGTATTATGTGATATGTTTAGGTTTGGTTTAAGTTTGCCTATTTTGGGTTGGAGGAAAAAATTTTCAGTTACTTTGAACGTAAAAATGAGGACCCTAAAGCGAGATTTTTCAGCATTTTCAAATTTGAACTTATGGTTCTCGATGTTTTAACCATTTTTCTGTATCTGTGATAAAACCCAATTTTAACTCTAAAAGTAAGTTTAAAGCCACTTTGCAAAAACGGTTCAGGCTGTCCAACACTGTTTCGGAAAAAAAAAATAGCAGCCACTGTTTTCAGCCAAACGAGGCCATTAGAGGCTGAATTTCAGTTTTTCCCAAAAATAACAATTTTAGATCTTGATGAGACGAAGAATTTTCGTGAAGAACAAATTTTTGAAATCCGACTCTAAGATGCAGTAAAACACAGATTTCAAAAATTGTACAGTTTTTAACTAAATAAAACTAACACAGTGTGGTTTTTAACAAAAGGTTATTAAAGAACCCGAGATGTGATTTTAATAAAATACTATGGTGTTAAACCTCATTTTAACAGAAATATTCGTAAAGAAAGTTTTCAAGAAAAATGGTTTCTTTTAAGAACTTAATGGTTTATCGAGCAAATCATCCTCACGGTTACCTACGAGCCTAATACATTAGGTCCTTAGAATTTTGAATAATAGATGTGGGTCCAACGCCCGCATTAATTTAAGAGACCCCGTTTGATTTTAAATTTCAATGGCTTAAGAGTTAGAACTCCATGAATAAGTTTCTAGGCCAAATTAGGCCATAATATCATAACAAGTCCAATGAGGTAGATTATGGACAATAAGTTACTAGATTGGGTAATTGATTTTCAATCTAGGCAAGTGAATGATGAGGGCAATTAAAGAAAATAAGATTTTAAGGATTTAATAAATTGATCCTTATAGTAAAGTATCCTTCAATAAAAGAGATGAATACATACCTTAAGGAAATGGTTAGATTTCCTTCATAAAATGCTAAAATAGAATAACAAATGACAGTTAATCTCACACTCTCAGTGGGTGTTCATTTTCAGAAGTAAGCAAGTAAGAGAATAGGCTGTTTGGCGAAAAGTGGATTCCAGCTCTGTAAAATCAAGTAAGTAGGAATCTAGCCTACAATATGAATAGATTTTAACGAAAAAGTTACACATGTTATATATGCATGTTTATGCTTTAAGTATTGTATGCGATGTCATGTCATGCTACATACACCTTAATAAGTCAAGAGGAACTTATAAGAATAATCTCAGTTGAGTGTCGTACCAGCCTCTGAGAAGGAGGTAACCCAGGCTCCGCAAGAGAGAAGAAAAAAAAATATAATAATGTCCTCTGAGAAAGAGACATTCAGTTTAGTTATAATCACGGTGTCGTTAGGGACCTTGCAAACCCTTACATCCAGGTGATTGCACGCAAGTGGTATGAGCACTCGGGCCCATAAGTAAGATAAGTTTAGATAATAATAATTTAATACGACATGATCATAATTAAGCATAATTAGCTCATGCATATTTATTCTTGTGAACTTACTTACAGTTATTTTGCGAGAGATAGTTCCTACTTGTTGAGCGAAAGCTCATCATAGAATATTTATATTGTAGGTAAGCAACCTGCATATAATACTTGATGGACTGACGGTGAATGGATGAACGATGTGAATATCGGGGAATGGATACCGCTCGTAAATATTTCCACAATCAATTTTACATTATAAATAGTTTTGCTAATTATGATTCTAAAACTATATGTTAAATGGTTTTGTGGATTATGGCTATTAGTAAGCAAGACTTACGGAGTAAGTATATACATTTAGATATATCTATATGCTTTAAAAAATAGATATGTTAAGGTTTGAATATTTTGATCAAGAAAGCAATTCGTAACATATGTCCACTATAAGACTTTTAAGAAAATAAAATAAAATAAAAAATGTTCCGTAAATTTTAAGAAATTTCAGTAAATACAAGTTAATTTTTAGCTACAGTGACGGCCGCTGAGGAGGGTCGTCACACTGTCGCCCTCTCCCTTTCCCCGATGGTCATTTCCTTTCTCTTCTAGCCACCATATCTCTGTCATTCAATTGGGACATGTTTGTTTGACCGTATTAGAGTACTATATTATGTAATAATACAATTTCTTGTGTGACCATCGTATTGTATAAGTTAATATGGATAGTAAATTAATAAGATCTATACCGTATTATTGAATATGACTCATTTTTTGCGTATTATATTGTATTATTTTATAGCAGATTCATAATTCATGTCAAGGTTGGACATGACTAAGGATCAGGATCGAGTTGACATAGAGTCATGCCGAAGCCTATAATTGTTTAAAAATTGAGGGGTACCATGCAAATTTGTATTATTTAAAAATTACATTTTGACCCTAAATTTTTTATAAAATTACACTTTGACCTTAAAATTTTTGAAAAATTATATTTTAACCCCACAACTTTTAAAAATTATACTTTGACTCCAAAATTTTTGAAAAATTACATTTTAACCTCAAAATTTTAAAAATGTTAAATTTATACCCATTGTTCAATACGTCATACATCAAACAATGTATTATATTATGGCAACACAACATAAATACAAGCTACTAAATATGACCATAAAGGTGCAACTTGTAAATTAAAGAAAAAATAGAAGATTTACCTTTAAGAGTGTATAAGTCTACACATTTATGTTTCATTCTTGATAAATATCTTTTTATTTGTATAATTACTTAACTAAAAAAGTCATGAATTAAGAATAAAAGGTAAAGGTAAAAATCCTCATGATAGATTACCCAATATTAAATGGAATGTGATGATACCATAGCAAGCTAGCACTAAGCCCATGATGAGCCATCTAATGTAAAACCCAAGCCCAATAAAACTGATCAGCATCTTTAATACAGCCTACACCCAATAGTTAGACATCAAACTACACATTGTTGGACATCAAACTACACAAGGCAACTATTAGTTAGTCCATATTAAAAGCCGCAATGTGCTTCAGGTTCTGGGGCTGACACGTACCCCACCGTTCATCTTCTTTTCCTTTATATATATATATATAATATATACAATTTTTTTTTTTTTTTTTTTTTCTTTTTTCTTTTTTTTTTATATACAATTTTTTTTTTTTTTTTTTGCTTTTTCCTATTTTGATCTTTGATTTTTTTTATTTACACGTTTGTCATTTATAAGTTTCTTCTCATTTTTCAACCGCTTTTTGTATATATTTTTAAATTTACTTCGTTAAATTATTTTTTTTCGTTCCCTAATTTCTCAGTTAAAATACATTTTACAAATATGACCTTATTAAAGTAGTTTTTTTTTTTTTTTTTACAATCCTGTATATATTTTTAAGTTACATATGTTTGACTAATTTCTTGTTCTTATTTACTTCATAAATTGTTTTTACCAAATATACCCTTAATTAAATATTTTTGTCCTCCACATTTATACATCCTAATTAATTTTTTATTTAATTTTTTTTCAAAATAATTTATTTAAAAAAACCACTGCCGAAATAATTATGCCCGAATATATCCCTATATATATATATATATACATTTCTTATCCACATATGCACCTTAATTATTTTTTTATTTTCCCACATTAAAATATTTTTTTAGTATGTTTGATTTTATTAATGAAAATATAACATTACTTTTTGATATACAGTTTTTAAATCTAATTTTTTAAATGTGTACTGTAGAAAATTATACATCTATGTAATTATTTTTAATCTCTTCTATAACCGTATGTTCAAAACTAAAATGAGTCTCTATTCAGTTGACTCATACGGCAATACGTGCGACCCCAAGACTAGTATATATAAAACTATTGATCATTGAATTCATTTTTCTTCCACGTTTGCAGCACAAAAGATAAAATATTTTGCCATAATGAACTAACGGTAATACATGTCTCTAAATAATAGTAAATTATTATAATAATTATTTATAAAACTTAAAGGGTTCAGAAATAGTGCCCATGATTCAATAGAGTATATTTGTAGACAAAATAAATCTCATGTTGATATAAATTATAAACGTACACACCATCCTCTCAAAAACTTCAACCCAGAGCATGACTGCCAAAAAAAAAAAATGTACCTTTTTATTATATATTAAAAAGAAAAATATCAATGTAAACTAATAGTTTGTTAGTTATTTAATTCCAGGTTAGAATAGCCGGAGTGTCACGTGATTTGAAAATGAGGAAAATAAAGGCAGTTGAGGACGAGTGGACTCCAATGTGGAATGAGGAATTCGAGTTACCACTCACAATTCTTAAACTGGCTTTGTTGCGCGTCGAAGCGCTAAATTACGACACTTCTAAAAACCCAAACTTCGGCGGCCAAACTTGTCTTCTAATATCAGAGCTCAAAATTGGTATCCGATATGTTCCTTTAAACGACCGTAAAAGAGATAAATATAAAAATGTAAGACGTTTAATGAGTTTTTAATTTGTTTAAACCTGTATTATCATAATGTTGGTTATCCTCCCTTTATAAAAGAGAAGGAAAAAAAATTAAGCTTTTAGTCACTTGTCCGCTAGCTATTTGTAGCTAGCCACTTATTGTGATCTTATGTATGTTTGGAAACCAAGTGTCATCAGCTGGGAACATTTTATTGTGTGTGTGTATATATCCAAACATTTGAGTTAAAGAATCGGTGTCCAGTTTTTAAGTGCACACACATTTATATAAATATATATATATATATATATTATATACTAGTTGCGATTTCCTACATTATTGCCTACATTATTAATAGAGTGGTGGAGCTGCCGCAGCAACCGCCTTATGAGCTCATTTATTCACGAGGGCTGATCTCAAAGTCATTAATGCCCTATACCGCCTTACTTATTGAGAAGGGAAAATCTTAATCTTAATAACTAACGTAATTAAAAGTTATACCATTTTAATGAATGTAATTCGGGATGGCGATTTTACCCGTTTAAATCATTTATTCGTGACACCTGTATAATACAAGATGAAAAAAATCCGCTTTAAACGAATTCAAATTATAAATGGGTTAAAATTTTAATATGTTGCGGGTCGCATGATGAAATAAATTTAGAGGTCTCCAACCCAATTCCCCATTTCTGATACGTTTAATTATATAATATTTTAAATTAAATATATTATATATAATTTTAAGTATAATATATTACATAATATATATGGAATTTTAAAACTACTTTTTTTTATTTCTAACTTAATGTTTTTTATATTTGTATTGTTTATTTATTTATTTATTTCACAATAAAAATAACTAATCAGATAAATAGGATACCGCGAATATCCTAAATTCGTGAAGAAAAAATCCGCCCCAACGTCAACTTATGCGGGCTCATAAGATGAATATGGTCATTATTTTTATTTACAGGACGGGTTAGTGGGAAGAACACCACACTTCAAATTCATCATATTGCCATCCCTATGAATTATGCAGCGTTGGAACCATGATCGTCTCATTCCTTGATCAAAACATTCCGTTTTCATTAGTAGGTTTCAGGACTTCTAAACAGACATTAACAGAAATACTCCAAGTAATTTTTTTTTCTACGAGCAAAAGGAAATTAACATACTTTTCCAATGAGTATTTGTGAACGATCATTTGGAAATCAACGGTTGAATAATGAAAGAGGTGTGATCCAAAAAAGACATACCTTGATAGATATTGTGAACAAAGAATTAGAAACCTTTTTTTTAATAAGAAAATAATTGGACAGGTTGTTTCCATAGAGATTATGCGCACTTAATGCACATTAAAATATTAAATAACATTGCACAAACGTGGAAATATTATATATATTGATGTCGCTTTGGAATTTAGCTCTAACGAGTATTAATTATAATATATTGATCTTCATCGTCCCTTGTATCACGCCTAAAAAGTTTTCTTGATTAATCAAAAAAAGAGTCAAGCAAACGTACGTATTACATTAATTACATAAAAGAGACGAATGAAAATGCATTATACTCTTTTTAGTTCCTAACTATAGGAGAGCTAAACATAGTTACTATATTCTGTTTTTAAAATGAATCCTTTAACATTGACCACTATCTAAACCTATCAAGAATGTCATCTATTATAACGAACTTTTAACTAACTAATTATAAATCGCATCCAAGATATGAGTTCTAATAACATTTGAATTCAACAATAATTATAAAAATGGAAAAACGTCACATCAAGAATCCAAATATTAATCCAGATAAACAATTCAACGAACTGATAAAAAATAAAAATAAAAAATAAAAATAAAAAAAAAACCAATGAGACTTCTCAAACTCAAAAAAAAAAAAAACAAAGGACCAATGAGACTTCTATCTAAAAGACCAATGAGACCAATTAGAGCTGATTAGAATACCAGGGTTGTCCTGCCAAAGCAAGGATACTCCCTCCAAGTTGGCCACAATATATCAGCCATAGCGAGCAGCACTTTCCTTTTCAAGCACGTGTGAGCACGTGCCCCCTCCGGTCCTTGATCATGTTGAATCGTGGTAGGCTGGCAAAGTGATCTGGTTAGTATTTTCTTATTACGGTGGGCCCCCCTTTATAATTTTTTTCTTTTTTCTTCCAATCATAATATATATATATATATATATTGCTCAGAGGATAATATTGTTATTTTTTTTGTAATAATGGGGCGTTGACTTAGGAAAGTGACATATTTATCTATTTAATCCGGCAGTATATAGATATTTGCAGCAATAAAAAAAACATGAGTTACGTATTTTATGAATAATCTTAAAATATAATTAAAAGTATAAATAAGTGATTGAAAGGATGAAAATATTTATATAAATATGGATATGAGTGTCTAAATCTTACAGAAATGTGGATATCACTGTAAATTGACTTAAAATTCACGAAATGTATGAAAATTTATCATAATCCACACAAAAGTTTAAAATGAAACTTTTAAATTTTTAAGTAATTATAAGAACAAATTTTATAAAATATGCCTAAGTTTTTAACACCGTAACACTTGTATCTTCTGTTCTCCTCATAGCACTTTAAAATTGGATCAGATTTTTTTTTATTTTTTTCACGGAATTAGGCACATAAATGTCACGTGACCAGCTATTTGAGGGTAGCATGCATGGTAAATCTATTTAGGAGATGAATTACTAATTACTAATTAATTCTCCATCAAATTAGTCGGCAATAACTATCCGAATAATTCTTTCTCCCACCGTGCACTTTCACTGGCCTCTCAAGCAACTCAACGTCAAAAATGCTTTCTTGTGTAAATTGTAAATTATAGATTATGTTTTGTGTTGCAAATCACGCCTCAATATAATATATTCTGGTATAAATGTTTATTGATTCTGTGATTTAGTAATTGTTTTTTTTTTTAGTTGTCTAGATGTTTCTTCAATTGTTTTTCTTTGAATTTAGAAAATCCATGTGGAGTAAATTGACCGTCGGTCCATTAAAATTGCACTAGCCTATTATCTTTGCATTTGCAAAGTATGTTACTACTAAAAGTTTAAGGTCCGTTCATTTCATTAATTTGAATTTTCAATTTCAGTTTTGTTACAGTTAAAAATTCTCATAAAAAATCATATCTAACTTTTCTGCTATAATGAAAAAAGTTCACATAAAATTACATTTTAACTCGAATTAAAATTTTAAATCCGCAAACTGAATAAAACTTAAAACTTTATTTTTGTGAAAAAGAAGGTTTTTTTTTTTTTAAAGCTGTTTTATCTTTGAATCAAGTACAATTTATCAACCATTTTGGCCAATTTCTAGGCACTTCAAAATCACAATTACGTTTCTCATGGGTTTTCCTTATTTTGTCTTTAAGTAATAATGTCCCTAATGTATTCTAGTTCTTTAACTAATTTCTTTGAAATATACGCATGGATCAGATAACTTCTAGCCTCATATTTTTATTGTTATCCATCTAGGCTTGGTTCAGACTTGAGATTTTCATTTCCTTGTTTTGTGCGCAAAGTTGACGGGCCATACTGACTATCTTTAATGATGACAGCGCAAATTGGCTTTTAGTGATATCGACCGGAGAGAGAGCTTCGATGATATTTCAGAAGAAAAGGAGGAGAACTACAAGGAAGTTTATGAAGAAAATGATTTGAGAGAAACTGAATGGATATGTCTCAAGCGGGGCAAATGAGTCATTTCATGAAATTATGATTATTCCAGTATTTGACCTGCTACAATTCCTTATCAAAGTAGATGGAATGAGAAAATTTAATTCCATTTCAAAGTACGGAGAATTGATTATCATCTCATTCATTTTATCGATTTGAGTTTTTAATTTTATGTTTTTATAGTAAAAAGTTCTTAAAAAATATCATATCTAATTTTTTTTACTATAATAAAAAACTCTCACAAAATATCACATCTTAACTCAAATTAAAAACTCAAATTTACGAAGCAAACGATGCATATATATATATATATATGCAAGTTTGAAACTCGGCAGACGCGTTGTTATAGTACTAGCTAAGAGTTGAGATTTTTTTTTTCTCAAAAAAAAAAAAAGTTGAAAAATTTATGAAACTCATTGTAATGACTGAGAAAATTCCAGACCTTAAATAATACAATTCATGTATTTTTAAGCCAAGGATTTTCTTAGAAAATATTATGTTATATTGTGAACGGAGGATTTATGGAATTAATATATGTATTCCTAAATTCTATAGCAAATTTCATGTTAAGTTCATGTTTCGATCAAGTAAATTCGATCGATAAATTCTCACCGTATTTTAAGGCAGAATAATTTTCAGTACAAGTATAGTTTGAGAATCTTAATTTCAAGAATCTCTAAGCACAGCACGATGTTAGCGGCATATAAAAAAAAACGCACTGACATTTTAAAAGAAGAAAAAAATCCTTAATTGCCAAACAGTTAGGTTAAAGTCACAAGATAAATACCTATAGTAGATGGATACAATATGAGCTCGGGAGTTGACACTGTCAGAAACGTCATTCTCGGGATAGAATACAGAAAATTAAAATTTAGAATTTGTTCAGTCTAAAATTAATTTCAAGACTTGAAACAGTT